CATTTAATTTAATTTATTAAAAAAAAAAAAATTATACACACACACACACGTATGTATGTATGTATGTATGTATGTATATATATATATATATATATATATACTGTATATATAGGTGACACTTAACAATAACAATAACTTCATGTTATTGTACTTAACTAATGTTAACAAATAAAAACTTCTTGTCAAACCTTAAATAGGGCAGTCATGGCCTAATGGTTAGAGACCCAAAGTTTGCGGTTCGAGTCTTGGTACCGGCAGGGATTGTAGGAGGGGGGAGTGAATGACCAATGCTCTCTTCCATCTTCAATAGCACGACTGAGGTGAGACCCTTGAGCAAGGCACTGAACCCCCAACCGCTCCCCAGGCGCCGCAGCAAAAAATGGCTGCCCAGTGCTCCGGGTGTGTGTTCACGGTGTGTGTGTGTGTGTGTGTTCACTACTCATTGCTGTGTGTGCGCACTTGGATGGGTTAAATGCAGAGCACAAATTTCGAGTATGGTACACTTGGCTAGTATGGCTACACATTACATCACTTTTTAAAAAGTGTTACTATTATATTTATTTACTTTTAAAAAATTTTGATGAAAAAGAACAGCCTTGACATTTTCATAATTACTAATAATTTTATGCTTCACATGGAAAAAGATAATGTTTTTCCAGCGACATGAGGGTGAGCAAATGATGACATCATTTTCATTTTAAAGCAAGAGGTTTGTCCCGATTGGACTGACAACATTTTGAATTGTGATTTGGGCTTTAGGCTCTTCGGCTGGATATCAACACACCCATTAACGTAAACTACGCCAGAGCGCGTACACACCTCACGCACTGGATGCCGTGCGCGCGCCCAAAGACAGTTGGACATAGTGGTGTATTAGAGGTAAAAAATTATATAAATACTGTTCGGTTTCTGGCACAAACCGATCGTTTCGTGTCTTAGGACATCAATGTGTCGTCACGAGCCGCAGGGTTTAATTTGGATTTGTCTGTGCATGTTTTTTTTACTCTCATAGATTTTGTTACCATTGCCATGCATTATACGACTGATAGACTGCAACGGTGTTCTGCAATATGTGTTCTACTGAAGAAACAAAGTCACCTACATCTTGGATGCCCTGGGGGTAAGCAGATAAACATCAATTTTTCATTTTTGGGTGAACTATCCCTTTAAATACATGTATCACTAGCTATATCTCAATGTCCATTGTTAGGTACACCTGTGTAGTACAGATCAGCACACTGCTTTGCCTCCAGAGCTGTCTGAATTGTTTGTGGCAAGGATTCAGCAGACCATGCTGGAAAATTCCTCAGCGGTTCTAGCCAGGTTAACTTAATACAATCACACAGCCTCTGCCCATTTACAGGCTGCATGAACCTCTCATTTAAGTTCACCCCAAAGGTGCTCTATTGGATTGAGATCAGGGGACCGTGTGGTCATTGGAACAAGCTGAAGTCACAGGCTATTCCCACAATAGAACAAGGTGGAGATGATGAATGCTTTGTGACATGGTGCATTGTCCCAGTGGAAGTAGGCTATTCATTTCAAATGGGTAGACTGTGGCTATATAGGGATACAGATGGTCAGTAACAATGCCCATACACTACAGCATCTAAATAGAGCACTGTTTGTATTTAAGGGTTCCTGTACTAATACACCACCAGCAGCTTGTACCATTGACATGAGGTGGGATTGTATAAGCGCATTATTCTTCTGCTGTGGTCCAACACCATGAAGCTTCAGAGATGCTTTTCTGCACAGAACTGTTATAAAGAGTGTCAATTTGAATGACATTTTCCTCTAGACATTTCCTTTAACAAGGTGTTTTTGGCCAGAGAACCTCTCGCTGTTTCTAGCCTGCTGTGTCCAGTACAACACCAGCAATCATACCACAAAGTGGCTTGTATCACATTTATTCCCCTTTCAGTTTGGTCGAAAAACAGCTAAACATCTTGACTTTATCAGCTTGCTTTTTGTGTTGAATTGCTGTCACATGTTAAACAAGTAAATATAAAAAACTTGCTCGAGTATTAGGGGTGGAACGGTTCAACTTACTCACGGTTCGGTTTGTATAACGGTTTTAGAGTCACGGTTTCGGTACGGTTCGGTATGTGCTATGTTTAGGGAAAAACTATACTGTCAAATAGGAATAAAGAAAATAAGAATAATCTATCTAACTACAAGCAACAGCACAAATAAATACAATAGAGTAAAGATACAAATAAAATAAACAGTGATTTTCAGTTTTTTTTTTAGGTAGGTCTAACATTAGTTTTTAGGTACAGAAATTGAATAAAGTAATGCAATGTAAAACAGCACTGCATATTTGACTGTATAAATTAAAGATGACTGATACAGTACGTTCAGCCGGCTATGTCTGCTATGGGATACATACCAAGACGGGCATTTTGACATAATTTTTGTGTGAATTTGTCAATTTAAACACAATACTTCAGAGCGAGCTTAATATCTGCGCGCGTTCTGAGGCGCGGGTTTGTGCGCTTCGGATGAGCGCACGCACAAATCTTCTCACTGCCTCGCGTTCTCTGGCTCTTACATGTTTAAGGGCGTTTCTTCAACTAGGGGCACTTTTATCCTTGTGAAGTTGAATAAAAAAAACTTGTTCAAAAGTCACGTAACACAGTCTCATAAGTTTAAATAATTTGTCTAGTTTTAAGGTCTGTAAGAGGACAAACTTAGATTACAAGAGAAATTGTTAATATTTTACATTTTTTCCAACCTGCAATGAACAAATGTCATTTCCACCACATCTCAATATACAGCTGTTATTTAAAAATAGAATAACTTATGCCACTCAAGAATTGTCAAAGCTGATTATTGTAACTAGTTTTACCAGTTTTT